TCGATACAGTCATATGTGGTACATCCATTAGCATAATAGTACAGTAAACAGTAGGTCTTAAAAGACCGAACAGTAAATGATGGCCATCAGTCAGTAAACAATAGTGGTTCCAACGAGGGAACTGACAGAGATCTCTGTAACAGTAACAGTAAACAGTAGTTGCTAAGGATGCCACAATACAGTTCAGAATATAGGACATACATTCGTTCAATTAACAGTAACAGTTCAGAAAGCAGTACAGTTCAATTGTTCAGAAGATAATCATTTTGAACATATCTTCACACAGATGTTACTCACAGAGTTCTGGGCTACAGTAAGCTAGAGCGTCTCCTCAGAAAGCCAATCCTACACAGTTAATAGATTGAACACACACTAAGCTACACAATCGAAGAGATAATAATTTAACCCCTAATTTGCCCCGGTGTGTTCTACATCTATATCCTCATTAAGATGCTTTAAACTAGGCCTAATAATGCCTAGGATGAGATGAGGATGTAAAGATGCACTTGAAAAAGCATTTTTAGAATTTTCGAAAAACAGGGGTCACGCTCGAGCGTAAGTTACTCCGCTCGAGCTGAAATGCAGACAAAGGTTTCCGCTCGAGCGTAGACTTACCCGCTCGAGCGTTCTGCAAAACAGTCAAAAGTGCTGGATCGGCGAAAATCACGCTCGATTGGGCGCTCGACACCCGCTCGAGCATGAGACACCAAGCCCCACTCGAGCGTCAATTCTTCCGCTCGAGCGGACGTCAAAACAGAACAAAATGCTGAGAGCACGATTTCCACGCTCGAGCGCCAGTCACCCCGCTCGAGCGTGAGTCCAAATTCTGGAAATTCCAGATTTGAACCTCAAGCTCAAAACCAAGTTTTTAAACCATAAATTTCGATCCTCCTGGGCCAATTTTCCAGAAAACACATCAAAACTCATACTTTAATATGATTCAAAACTCAATTTGTAAAATCAAAGCCCAAGGGTGTTTCAAATAAATCCAATTCAAACCAATTTCCATGAATATGAAGAACATGCAAACATGCATGAATTCAAACCAATTCAAAGCTTCAATTTGATGCTCTAAGGAGCCGATTGTTCCAAAAACAAGATGAAAACATGGACTTAACATAACCATGAGCATGCATGTGGCAATTCTCCATAGAATCAACTCAAAATTGAACAATTCAAACATGCATGCATGAAATGAGTTCTAATTCAACATACATGGGCCAATTCAAGGCTCAAATCACTAGAGGCTCAAGAACTAAGCATGAACAAGTTCAAATACATTAATAGAAGGTTAAATTCTCATACCTAAGTCTTGAATTCTAGGCAGGGAAGCTCAATTATGCAAATTTATACTTCAATCCCTTCAATTTCCAAGCAAATCTACAAGTGAACTCGACTCTCACTCTCACTCTCTCTATGGTCGGTTGAGCTCTCAAAGTGTGGCTGATGAAATGTGTTAATTGAATGTATACAAGTCTCCAAAGGTGTAAGGTAGTGGCCACTAAGTGGTGAGATTGTAAATTAGTCAAACTCTGTGCAATTATCAATATTTAATTTAATTTAATTTAATCATACCTAATCAGTTTTCAGATAAATATACCATAAAATCCTATAAATTATGAGGATCATGAAACATTAATCGATTTCCGGTTCGGCCGCCGATAAGGCCTTCAATTAGCAGTTCAAACATAAAAACACAAACAGATAATCAAGCAATCAAACAGATAGACATACAATTGAACAGATATACTCAGTCAATTCAGTTTCAATTTCAGTCAATCAGTTCAGTAGTTTATTCAGTTCGCTTATCAGTCGTAATTAGTTCAGTTTAACGGTAATCAGTAGTTTATCGGTAAACAGTAGCGAGGGTTGTTACAACGGGTTTGAAGAGAGGACCAAAGATAGAGGCCTTTTGATCCGTGGTTGGGCTCCCCAAGTCCTGATATTGTCACACCGCGCCATTGGAGGGTTCTTGACACACTGCGGGTGGAATTCGACACTCGAAGGGGTTTGTGCTGGCTTACCAATGGTGACATGGCCTATTTTTGCTGAGCAGTTCTTTAATGAGAAGTTGATTGTGCAGGTTTTGGGGATTGGTGTGGGTGTTGGGGCTAAGGTGGTTGTGCACTTGTGTAAAGAAGAGAAATTTGGGATGTTGGTGAAGAGGGAGAATATGAAGAAGGCTGTGGAGGAGGTGATGGACGAATGGAGAGAAGGAGAAGAGAGGAGGAAGAAAGCAAGGCAGCTTCAGGGGAAGGCAAAGAAGGCAATGGAAAGTGGAGGATCTTCTTACAGCAACCTCACATTGCTTGTTGAAGATATCATGCAACTAGCAGAAGAAAATCAAGCTAAGGCATGAGAGAGGGAGAGAGAGAGAGAGATGTTTACAAAGTTGAGTCACAAGCATGGCATTGGAGACTGAGATTACTACTTGACAGAGAGGGGTTGTGGAGGATCATGAACAATCTGGTATTTTATTTTTGTTTCAGAGAATGGAATGAAAAATTGGTGATGACTAGTAACTCTATATTATTCTTGTAGTAGTAATAAATGGAAATTTATATTTGTCAATCTCATGAAGAAAAAAAAAACAAACAAACAAACAAATTAAGTAATCTTTTAAGGCTTTATTGTTAATTCACTATCCAGATTTGGACAATGCATCAGCTATCAAAGAAAGCATAAGGGACAAATTGGTGTGAAGGTAATTTTATCAGATCGAAATGTTTGGACCCCTTTTGAGATGAACCCCACACCTCTAAAGTGATCATGACCCTCCATGCATGTGTGGGGCCAACTCATATATGTGTGGAGTCCACATCATGAGTGGTCTAGATTTGTGGAGATCTTGTGGTTGCCTTGTGGAAGTGGGGGTCTCAATCATCACTTTTTATCAGATATGTGAATAAGCTAATTTGGAAGAGAGTAATGCTATAGGGATCATGAAGAAAATATTATGAAGATAATCATAAAAGATTCTACACCTTTTGATTACAAATATAATAAAACACCATATACTAATCAAAGGATAAAAAAAACTCATGAAATATTTCATGATATTTTTTTCATGACCCCTAATATTATTATTTGGGAGATTGAGATAGGATATGAGTAAGAAGAAGACAGTTATGCAGTTGTGCAATAGAACAGTTGGGTTGTTTGTGTGAAGATTGATGATTTTTATTTTTATCTGGAAATATGGTGTTTTGCCCTAAATAATATCTTAAGATTTTTGAAGTTGCGCCCAAGGTGAAAGTCTTTACAGCATTGAATACCTTTCAATTTTGGTTTTATTAGGTGGTTGTCTCCGGTTGGGTGAGAGTTGTGGTTGGCACCTTGCCGACCCTTTCTGTTATTCTCCTTTTGTTTTATTGATGTATTTCTTGATACTCTTGTATTCTACATTAACAACAGTAAAAATTATTTCTATTGCCAATAAATAAATAAAAAAATTATATATCACCATTCTTTTTCACCTTCTATGTAGATCACTGTAACAAATATTACATATTCATATAAGATTCATCATGTTCATAAGATGATAAACTTTACTATGCTACATAAAAGTCACATAAAAACAAAAAATGTGCAGTGAAATAATAAATAGCAATCTTATAAACCCAAATATTCATTATGAATGAGATCTCTCACGCCAAATTTAAGTGTGTAGTGCACTCTCAACTTTCTGGTTTTTATTTTTAATTTTTGTTCCATAGTACAAAACTTGTCCCTATTAAAAAATTGGTATTTATTAATGTAATTGTAGGGTCACATGATATGAAATTGGGGGAATTACATATCAGTGGAAAGAGGAAAAATTATTTACAAAACAGTGAAAAAATTTATAATTATTAATACTTATAATGTTTATCATCTTTTTGTAAATATTTTTTTTCCTATTTTCACTGATATGTAATTGCACCTGTGAAATTTGGCTTTTGGGTTCCAAATTTGCAAACCCTGCTAGCCAAAATTTTTGGGCAACTATTTGTCATAGTCATTTTATGGGGGACTATTCAGTGGAATATTTAGGTTAATAATGGCTACTTTGGTAGAACAAGAACAATAGCACTTGTAAATTTTCCTTAAAACTTGAAATTTTACATTGGTAACACCAAATAGTTTAAGATCAAGTTTTCCTGCATTGATTTCAATCAACAATCTATTTTAAGATAACTCTGTTTAAACTTTTCTAGTATCAAAATTTATTAACTTTCAGCTGAATTAAGCATCTTCCTTCCTCTTTGTTTCAACAAATTTCCATATTTTTGATTTTCCGACATAATATAACATGGATTACGTAACCATTTCCACATTCAGAATCTATAATCATGGTTCAGATATTATATTGTTACAAAAAAATTTCTTTGGTCATAATGACATGATACTAACACATTACTCTGCATATATATTTTGTATATTTTTTAATTTCGTATAGTATTACTCTTCTAATTAATCTTATTTTGGGGACGTGGTGCAATGTTGGAATAACTTATGGTATTTGCTAAACATGTGCACCAAAAGTATCACTTAAAAAAAAATCACAAATTTTTGTACAAAAAATCACGAGTTTCTTTCTGAGCTAAATTGCTTTTGCTGGATACTTTTCTTGTGTACGGTTTATTAACACACAAAATTAACAAAAAACAAATTCGTACAAAATGATGTAACAACATTGCGAACTTGTCATTTTAAAAACAAATTTCACTAATGTTAATTGCAAAAGTATCACTATCATACCATTCTTGTTCCGAATTATGAATATAAATTTTATGTAAAAATAACCTTTTTTTCCATTTGTTTGAGTGCCACCATAGTCCTCTCACACTCACTAGTGCAAAACACCCTGTGAACAAACAGTGATTATGGAACATAGACCCCAAGGCTTCACAAGATTCCAAATAGTCCTTCACACAAGCCACATGCCTTAATATATCAGCATCCCTGCTTATGTAGGCTCTTGCATCATCAGCATATAGTTGCAATTATTGCATAGGAAAAAGGGCATCTACCTTATCTTCCAAAAAAAAAAAGAAGAAAAAAAATCCTTACCCACTTCTTCTTCCAATTCCAACTACTTTCAGTTCATGTAAATTTGATCACTTTCATCTCCATCAACCCCCAAATTCCAATGTCTTCACAACACAAACTCCTCCACCACTTTGTTTTGCTTCCACACTTGGCCCATGGCCACCTAATTCCCATGATAGACTTGGCCAGGCTACTAGCCCAGCATGGCACGGTCGTCACCATAATCACCACCCCCCTCAATGTCGCCCGATCTGCCACAATCATCTCTCGAGCCATCGAATCTGGGCTCCAAATCCAACTCCTCCACGTCCCGTTCCCATCTGCCAGGGCCGGCCTCCCAGACGGATGCGAAAGCATGGATGCTCTCCCCTCGCGACACTTGTTCAAAAACTTCGTCATCGGCATTTCCATGCTACAAGAACCAATGGAACAGTTGATCGATGAATTAAACCCTCGTCCGAGTTGCATAGTTTCCGATAAAAATCTTGCCTGGACAGCTGATACCGCACGCAAGCATCAGATTCCGAGGCTTGTTTTTGATGGGACGAGTTGCTTTTCGCTCTTGTGCACACACAACATACTCAATTCCAAGATTCACGAGTCCGTGTCTGAGTCTGAATCTTTCGTGGTTCCGTGTTTGCCTGACCGCATTGAATTAAAGCGGGCTCAGCTACCAGGAGCTGTCAATATGGTGAATGAGAGAGACCGCAGTGAAATCAGGGCCGCGGAACTGGCAGCTTTTGGGGTGGTTGTTAATACTTTTGAAGAGCTTGAACCAGCATATGTCGAAGAGTTTAGAAGAGTCAGAGGCAGAGTTTGGTGCATTGGACCGGTATCGCTATGCAACAAAGAGGATGTGGACAAGGCAGAGAGAGGCAACAAGGCCTCAGTTGATGAAAACCAGTGCTTGACGTGGCTTGACACAAAACAACCCAGCTCTGTAGTCTACGCCTGCCTCGGCAGCCTCAGCCGCTTCACGCCACCACAATTGGTGGAGCTCGGATTAGGCTTGGAAGCCTCGAACCGACCCTTCATTTGGGTTATTAGAGGAAAAAATATGGAAGAACTGGAGAATTGGATACGCGGAGAACGATTTGAGGAGAGAACGAAAGGGAGAGGGCTTTTAATCCGAGGTTGGGCACCGCAAGTACTTATATTGTCACACCCTGCAATTGGGGGTTTCTTAACGCACTGTGGTTGGAACTCGACGTTGGAAGGCGTGTGCGCGGGCGTGCCCATGGTGACGTGGCCGCTTTTCGCGGAGCAGTTTTATAATGAGAAATTGATTTTGCAAGTGTTGAGGATTGGTGTGAGATTGGGGGCTGAGTTTGCTGTGAAGTGGGGGGAGGAAGAGAAGTTTGGGGTGTTGATGAAGAGTGAACAAGTGAGGAGGGGTATAGAGGAGGTGATGGGTGAAGGAAATGAAGGAGAAGAAAGGAGGAAAAGAGCAAGAGAGCTTGGGAAGACGGCTAAGAGGGCAATGGAGGAAGGGGGTTCTTCTTTCCTCAACATGCATGTTTTAATCCAAGATATTATGCAACAGGTTAAGGGCAATCAACCTATAACATGAGAGAGATACTACAATACATTAGTAATAAGTCTAAATTGATCAGGAAATTGGATACAGGAAGTATGGATGGACAAAATTTTTAGAAGTGGACCCATTAACAATTTTTGATAAAATCTCGTTTATACTCGTATTTTATTTTATTTATGTGTTTAGTTTTTATGTTGGTAACAAATTAATAAAAAATTAAATAGAGTTTATAAGATCCGTCAAATTCCGAGTCTTGATGCTAAATTTCGTCCATATTCTTAAAAATAAACAAAATAGAATAGTGAAACCTTTGATTTGTTAAAATCAAATAAAATAAAATGAAAGAAATATCATTCTTATGCCATTTACATTCGGAAATGGGTATGATTTATTTATTTTAGTTTTAATGTTGAGTTTAGAAGATTAGGAGAAACCCTTTTTTCCTCCTCAATAATTGTAACTATATGCTGCTAATAGAAGAGCTTACACAAGCAGGGATGTTGACATATTTAGGCATGGGTCCAACTTGTCTCGTGTTCAAATTAAGATTGGACCCGTCTATTCCGATCTATGGGTTCATTTTTTAGTCCTATTTCAATAATCTGAACCGTCAATATGTAATCGTCGAATATTATATCCCTGTAAAAAATCACGTTGATCGGATATCGATAGTTATTTGATCGGGTCAGATTTATATTAAAAAAAAATGAACTGTGAAAAAATAAACGGTTGACAGAATTTTAATCCGATCAAATAACTATCGATATCCGACCAACGTGATTTTTTATAGGCATATAGTACTCAATGAGTTCTACACATTGAACGGTTCGAATTATCAAAACAGAAATAAAAAATGAGTCCATGGGTAAGACTAGACAGGTCCACTCTTAATCTAAAATATGAGACAAGCTGGACCGTTTAGGTATGTGATTTCGTGTGAAGGACTGTGGAACCTTGAGGTGTATGTTACCCAATCACTGTTTGTGGACTATGGGTGTGAAGGACTGTGGAACCTTGAGGTGTATGTTACCCAATCACTGTTTGTGGACTATGGGGGCACCAAACAACGAATTGAGATAAAAACAAAACCGAACCGAACCAAACCAAATCAAATCAAATCTTATCTTAAGTCTTATTAAATAGAATCAGTTACATGAATTTTTTTTTTCCACTTGATTCTATCCAATGCCATTTTATTAGTCAAATTAAGGAAATTCATATATCTATTTACTACACTAGTCCATGTCAATTCAGGTTTACCCATTCCCCTAACACTATCATTTACCGTCACTGTATCGCATCTTTTTACTATTGCATCTGTTGGTTTCCATTATATGTGATCAAACCATTTCAATCTATTATCTCTCATCTTCTATTATTACTACTCCTACTCATTCTCGAATATACTTATTCCTAATTTTATCTTTTATAATATTGCCACAAATCCACCTTAGCATCCTCATCGCAGCAACACTCATCTTATCTACATGTCTCTTAATTCCCTAACATTCTGTCTTATATAATATCGTTGGTCTAATAATCGTTCTATAAGAATTTCTTTTTAGTCTAATTGGTACTCGTTTATCGCACAGTACTCTAGACGCATTCCTCCACTTAAATCACTCTGCATTAATTATGTGGATCACATCCACTCCAATCTTCCCTGTCGTTGTGATAATCGATCCTAAATAACGAAAATGTTCACTCTTAGGTGGTTCTTGGTTCTCAATCTTCACTTTCCCTTTACTTTCATTGTGACTGTTACTAAAATCACACTTCATATATTCTGTCTTAGTTCTGTTTATCATAAACCCTTTAGATTTAAGTGTTTTTCTCCAAATTTCTAACTTAATGTTAAATCCTTTATTTTTACATAAAATTTATGCACATAATTTGACATTTATAATAGACTTACAATACAATCACATTATTTTGATAATTTTTATTTATATAATATTATTTACTAATAATAATAATAAAAAAAATATATAGAAAAATCAACCTCACCCAATCAATCTCACCCACCTATTAAAATTTAAAATTAAAGCTGAAAGATTTTCAATACTCCGTAACTTTAAGAATGTCAAGATACTCTTCTTGATTGCATTAGGCAAACCACCACGTGTCAAAATCAAAATCATCAATTTTAACTTCTTGACATATCTGATGAAATTGCCTTCCACGCCAATCTGTTCCCCATCCTTTTGAAAGCTGATGTATTATCATCTGAATAGTGAAGATTTAACGATTAAGCCTTCGAGATGACTTTATTTCTTTTACTAAAATTCTTTTACCTTTTAGATTTAATAATGTGTGAGAGATATGATTAATTAATAATTAAAAAAAAAAAACATGAGAGAAAAAATTATCTTAAATATTTTAATTCATTATCACTTTATTGAGTTTCAAAAATAAATCTTACTTTTAAACTAGAATAGTAATGTTAAAAACGTAATGAGTAATGAAAGTGACATACGGTTGATTATTGAGTATTCCTGGAGCATGGTTACATAATACTCCATAGTATTATGATTGATAAAAAAAGTCGGGTATTATAATTTTATATTAGGGGATTAAAGAATATGAAAGGATATAATAAATGATCATATAAATACGTGACATTCTAGAAGTACCTAATAATTTTTTGTGACGGGTTGAGATCTCACCAACTCTAATGGAAATAAAATAATTTCCATTTTTATAATGGTCTCGTTTGGTAGAGTTGTGGGAAAGTGATTATAACTTATAGTCTAACAGCTTATAACTTATGGCTGTGAACATAAGTTGATTTTTGACTTACAAAAAGCTATAAGCTATATTGTTAAGCTAAACCAAACGCATCAAAATAACTTAAATTAAGCTAAAAGCTGAAATACGTCCTATCAAACAAGGCCAATATATTTTTTAAATAATGTTTAATAAAATGTGAGCATATATATTATCATTTCATTCCAATCACCAAATAGAGTGCTAGGACCCTTGTTGTCAAAATCCATAGAAAAAACGAAGTTTGTAATTTTCCAGTTTTTGTTCTTTCCGCTCAAGTATGGAAAGCGCCGCTCGAGCGGAGTTTACATTTTCACAGTATTTTATATGTCTGTAAAAATACTGAGGGATGTGTTTTTACGCTCGAGCGTGGGATCTTCCACTCGAGCGTAAACCCTGGTTTGGAACACGCGATATAAAGCCCCTGCTCGAGCGTCTATTCCCACGCTCGAGCGGACTGCGCGATCTCTGTTTCTATATATTCGTTTGTTGGTCCAATTCTATGGTTACTTTTCCTAGATCTTCTTTAAGAGTCTTAGGGTTTCTTTTGAGGTTTTCTTCTGAAGTTTTTTGTGAGTTTTCCTTGATGACTTGAGTGAGTATTAAACTCATGCATTGATAAGCTCATATCAAGGAGATTGATTAGTTATATACAAGAGTGTTATTCTTCGGTGGAATCCGGAGATTCAAACGTGGAGTTTCAAAGGAGTTTGATTATGTACGTAGTCGTTGATTCGGCAAGTGGAGTTATGGATTCAACTTTAGATTAATCAATTCCGAGACGAAGGCTTGGTGAAAGAGTTACAGAAAGTTTGAAGACAAATTGGATAAGTTGGGTAATTTGTTTGTTATCTTTGTAATCTTTCTTTCTTCAGTAGTGGATTGATTAGTGGCGTTTCGCCCGTGATTTTTTTATTACAATTGAAGGTGCTTCAATTGTGATTTTTTCCACGTAAAAATCGTTTGTGTCGATTTATTGTTTTTTGAAAACAACAATCTAAATCGCTTTTGTAAGTGCTTGATGATTTAGATTGTGCGTTTTGAATTATTGGGCATTGGAGTAATTTAATCTTGATCTAATCACGAATCACTTAGGATTTTCAATTGGTATCAGAGCAGGTCACTCTTTATTTTTATCAAAACTATAGGAGTGTGATTTTGTGTGATTGGTGATATGGATTCAATTCGTGAAGGTAACTCGACCCATAGACCTCATTTACTTGATGGTGCAAACTATTCTTATTGGAAAGCTCGTATGAGAGCATTTTTAAAATCCATCAATGAGAAAGTTTGGCACTGCGTGATCTATGGGTGGAGTGAACCTATTGTCACCATTGATGATATTGATATTCCCAAACCCCTTAATAAATGGGACACAACCGATTACCAAAACTTGAGTTGGAACTGTAAGTTTGCTCCGTCACACCTGAAGAATTTCGTCGTATTTGCACGTGTGAGGTAGCAAAAGAGGCTTGGGACATTCTTGAAACGATTCACGATGGTGCTACTTCTGTTAAAAGGTCAAAACTTCAACGTCTCACCTCTGCCTTTGAAACCCTTTTTATGTGTGTTGATGAGATGTTTGATAATTTCTATGCAAAACTTAGTGACATCGTGAATTCCTGTTTCACACTCGGTGAAAAAATCCCTGAAGCTAAAGTTATTGGAAAAATTTTGAGGTCTTTACCCAAAAGGTTCCAATCAAAAGTGACAGTCATTGAGGAGGCTCAGAATGTTGATACCCTCAAGCTTGATCAGTTGGTTGGAAACTTGCAGAATTATGAAGCCCACCAGATTTCTAAGAAAAAACAAAAAGATAGTGTGACTTTCACTAGTTCTCATGAGACTACAAAAACTCTGGAGACTGAGTTTGATTTAGAGTCAGAGATGAGATGACGGCTATGTTTACTAAACAGTTCAAAAAAAATTTAAAGAAAAAGAAGCCTAATTTTAGAGACCATATTTCAAAAGACAAGAGTAATGAGAAACCCAAAATTTTTCCACCAAAACTTGCTCAAAAAACTGAAAAGAAGATTGTAAAGGGGCAAGGGGTCAAGTGTTATGAATGTCAAGGGTTTGGACATATTGCCCTTGAATGTCCTTCGAAAAAGAATTAGAAGAAAGTCTACACAGTGACTTGGGATGATGAAAGCGGGTCGGAGCAAGAACCCGAATAAATTGAATCTGGTGAAGATGGGGATGGTGCTTTCATGGCATTTTGGTCCACTTTCACTCAACCTCTTCCAAAGCCAGTGGAATTAGCTCGTGGTCAAAATCTGCATCATGCTCCCACCTTTGATGGGAGTAATTACTTTTATTGGAAGATTAGAATGAGAGCGTTTCTGAGAGCTTTCGACCTAGAAGGCTGGCAAGCTATTGAAGAGGATGATGTAAGTGCTAACAGTCCAAGCAATCAGAGAGTTCTAATTACTATTCGTGGAGCTATTTCTGATGAATAACAGCAGCGGGTTGCTCACTGCACAAAGACGAAAGA